AATCATTTAAAAGAATGAAGAATTGAATGGATTAGGAATGCTTACAGAATGACCGCCTGGCAATCGAAATTATCAAGGTCCAAGCAACCTCACAAACTGGGCAGAGGAGATCCAGGAGAAAGAATAGATAATGAATTAGGGGAAAAAAAAAAAAGAAAAGCATTTGATATTCTGGAAGAAAGCATATCAAGGAAGACCAGTTGTGTGGTTTTCTCCAGTCACATTCAGAGCTGTATAACTACAGGTGTGTATGATGAAATAAAAGAGAAATAATGGAAGAAAATGCCAGGGGAATGATTATTATAATGATTAACCATGGATTTTTAGGTGAAAAGAGAGAAGTCATCAAGGAGGTGAAGAAGAGATTGTAAGTGTCATGGGGCTAAAAAATTTTGTGGGTCAAGATACTACAAGAGAACAAGATAAAAATGTAGAACAGGTATGTGTAATATGAAATTGAGACTGTAGAAGCGCTGCAGTTATTGGTAATGACTTGGTTCAAGTCTGAATCCTGAACCAAGATAGTTATGAAAGAGCAACAGACAGACAGGTAAACCTACCTGTTGTTACCAACAGTTTTCACTTCTGAGACAACAGCACAAACCTTAGGATCTGGAAACAGTCAAATGCTAACTAGAATATTGGTTCTTTTTAATGAAATTCTCAACTCTTGGCCAAGATCTTACTTTTTAGCCAGAGTTTTTCTTCCTAAATTACTGTCATCAAACACTTAGAGAACTGTTTCTCATGCTCACAGTTCCCATAATGTATTTCATGCTCCATATTGTCCATTTTATACCTACTAAGAGAGGACCTTTGGATCTTATATGAGTTAAAAAGGTTTTAAAAGGAAGGAATACTTCCTCGTATGAAGAACAATCTCTATACTTAGGCCATTAGTTATTACTCACCCTGTTATGGTTCAAAAGAAAAAGACAGAGACAGAAGAAAAGCAGAAAGAAAATTTATCTTGTACATACAAATAATGACCTGCCTGAGGTTATAACAATGATGAAAATGCTCCCTTGGAGAAGATGAAAATAAAATTTAACTACTAGATATGTTTCCAAGGAATTCAAAAGCAGAGTCAACAAGTCTGTCATATAAGATTCCTTGCTGTCACAGGAAAGTGATAAAGTGAGAATGACTATAAGTTTTATGGTGCTGTCTATCAAATCTGAATTTACTACATTCCCCAGAAGGGAATAAATTAACTAAGTAACTAAATTCCTGATTTATAGAAGTTAAAGAGTTCAGAAATACAAGACTAATTCTCAAGAGAAAAATAATGTGTAAGAGAACTTGTTATAAATTCTAGGACCAGTTCTGTCTCTTAACTCTTCTTTTAGTAAGAAACCTTATTGAAGCAGTGTCTGGAGGCACCTTTGACCACAGGAGGTAGATATACAGAGTGAGGTAGTTGTTTCTTCAATATCCACTCTTAGAAAAGCCAGTAGGTATATGGGAGATTTTAGGTACCAATAAAACATATGGGGGATAACAGGCATATTTAACAAATGGCAGAAAGTTGTGTTTAGCAAGCAAGTGAGGAAATAATGCAATTATGATAAAAACAAGTGTCTCAATAACTTCCTCATTAACACTAGCAGCTATACACTGGGCTGAAATTACCTAAGCAGTGCTTCTACTGTACTAGATATGCATGTTTTACTTTCTTCAAGTTTTAGGCTAGTTTTGCTAGAGCTGAATACACTATAAGTAGAATATACTCTTCTCTTCTATAACCCTAACTATCCAGGATCTGGTTTACTTGCCCTAATTTGTTTCCTTTTTCTACCCTTAAGTCATTGCCAATTCAAGGACATCTGTGCTTATAGGAATTAAGTGGCTGGTGAAAGCTTTTGCACTCTTGTCTGGATCTAGCCTTTCAAAGGCTCCTAGGACAAGTACATACACTTCTGGAAAGCAGAACCCTAGGAAAAATCTTTGGAGTCAGTCCAGAGTCTGAACCCTGGCTCTGGCACTTACTATATGGTCTTGAAAAATACGTTTAACCCATGTCTCTGCTACTTCATCTGAAAGTTGAAATATCTGCAGTGCAATAATGAGAGTTAACCTATCATTATTTTTTCATCAATGTTAAAACTGCAAATGAGAGACTTGGTAACTGACACTGGTTTCAATATTAAAACTAAACTGGGGCCTGGGGTGCAGTGCAATAGTAGGGGGAATGCTTAGCTCGGGCAAGGCCTTGGGTTTCATCTTCAGCACCACCAAAAATTAAAATGAAATTTAAAAAAAAAAAGAAGAAGAAGAAAAAGAAAAGGAAAAGAAACCTAAACTAGTTCAGTATTTAAGACAACATGGAGTCAATAAAGACTGAAAATCCAAAGAAATAATTTTTTTTTTAAAGAGAGAGGGAGAGAGAGAGAATTTTAATATTTATTTTTTAGTTTTCGGTGGACACAACATCTTTGTTTGTATGTGGTGCTGAGGATCGAACCTGGGCTGCACGCATGCCGGGCGAGCATGCTACCGCTTGAGCCACATCCCCAGCCCAAGAAATAATTTTTTAAAAGGGGAAGAAATTATTAAAAACATTCATAGCTACATGGCTGATAAAAAAAAGAAATGTTTTATTGCATTCAAGTACTGCAAATAACTGTTAAGAAGTGGGCAAACAATAAGCACTAAAGACAGAAAAAAAAATCTATCGCAGAATTTTTAAAAATGATTAAAATTTATCATTTATGGAAAACTGCTCAAGATTTAGTAATTTTCAAGAACACCTTCTCAAATGCTTCCTACTGAAAAGACTGGGAAATTAAAACAGTATGCCAGAGTAACACCTGAAAGTTGTAACTTCAATTAAAGAAATTTATAAAGACCAGCTAGAAATTTCCTTCATCAAAATAGTAGCAATTCATTAATGGTAATTATTATTACATGAGAAATTGATACCCCTACTAAACTAAACTAAGTGGACTAATTTATACTTATTCTTTAAAAAAGAATGAATGATAAAGAATGCTGGGTGCGGTGGTGCATGACTGTAATCCCAATGCCTCAGGAGGTTGAGACAGGAGGATTGCAAGTTCAAAGCTAGCCTTAGCAAAAAGCAAGGCACTAAGAACTCAGTGAGACCCTGTCTCTAAATAAAATACAAAATAGGGCTGGGGATGTGGCTCAGTGGTCATGTGTCTCTGAGTTCAATACCCAGTAACTGACCCCCACCACCCCTGCCAAAAAAAAAACAAAACAAAGAATGGATGATAAGATAGAAATTTCTAAAAATACATTTTTCTTTTTAAACCCAAAGCTGCTAGGAAATTTCAATGAATAGAAAGTATTTTCCTAGGCAGAAGCTGGAGGCTAATGGAGTACTAAAGAGTTTGGGTTATGTTTTTGAAAATAACAAAAGATGAGAGGTCTTGTTTGTTCAAATACATATCAATTCATAATGAAATTAATGTCAAAGATGACCAATAAACTGCAGAAATCCCAATTAAAATCAATAAGAATACAAACATACAAAATAAAAGAAAGATGGAGACAAAAAAGGGGTCCAGTTATTGTGTATTTGCAGTGGCTCTCAGAGCACAGAGCCCAAGTACAAGAAAGAGATAAATTCTAAACACCAACACAAGGATAAAAAAATCATTTGATTTTGACTTTTACTGTCAACTACTCTTTGTTAATAAATTAGAGCAGTATAAGTGGTCACCATCATGTTTTTTTAACTAAGAGTGTAGAAGTAATTTCCTAAAGCTAGACTTTGGCATGGAAGGTGATAAATGTCAGAAGAAATGGCCACTTTGCCTTGAATGATAGGAAAAAGGATAGGCTTGAACATTGTGATCTTTCACTTCTAGACAGAAACACACATATAACTGGGAGTGACCAAAGGTGCCTAGCACTCTGTTAGGTTTCTTATTAGAACAAAGTGCAACCTGCTTCCTAACTAAAAATAATAATTGTTTTTAAAAATGCTACTTACTGGGATAGAAGGAAACAGGGAAAAGAAATATGCCAAAGTTGCTCTTAATTTTCATCACTAGTGTCATGATTAACCTTCAAGTAAATAATAATGCTAACTGATGAGGGAAATACAAAATTATTAGTCTGTAATTGTGATACATGACAAAATCTTTCAAATATTGGGTCTCTCAGGAAATGAGAAGTGTCCCATCACAAAGCAGAACAAAATCACAAGAATTAGAAAGTGAAGATAACAAAGTGGATTAGTTCTTCTAAAATGAAAGAAGGAGTCTGAGGCAGGAGGATCACAAGTTCAAAGCCAACCTCAGTCACTCAGCAATGCCTTGAGTAACTTAGCGAGACTCTGTCTCAAAAAAATAAAAGGGTTGGAGATGTGGCTCTGTGGTTAACCACTGGGTTCAATCCCTGGTACCAAAAAATAAATAAAAATAGAAGGAAGACATGAAGATAAAAAAAGATAAGAGTTTACTATAGAAACCATGGACTGTAAGTCAATGGGAAAGCTGTCTATATATGCTACAGAATAGAGACTATACACATCTACCTGTTTCATAAGGCTTCACTGCAGTTTAAATGGGGTAGTAAAAGTGTTAAAGCACTTTGAAAACTGTAAAATGCAAAATATATGTAAGGTAATGGTGATAATACTTACTTCAATTGTCCCTCACCTTCCAAAGAAAGAACAGTATGTGAGAGCTTTAACTTAAAATAACTTTTTTCCCTATAGTCAACACCATAGCTACTGGTATTTTGGAACTCTAGGGAAAAAAAAAAAAAATCTAGCAAAAAAGAAATTAAGTCTTAATCTTTGATATCAGTTTTTGTAGTTGTAGATGGACAGCAAGACTTTATTTTATTGTTTATTTTTATATGGTGCTGAGGTTCAAATCCAGTGCCTCACACATGCTAGGCAAACGCTCTTCCACTGAGCTACAGTCCCAGCCCTGGTATCAGTTTTTTAAAGAGAAAAATCTGTTACATTTGTTTCATCTTTTCTAATATTCAAGAGACCCAAATAAAAGGCTCTTCTGTATTCTTACCTTTGGAAGCTACAGGAGCGAACGGTGAAGAAGGATATTGGAAATATCAGATATTGGGAAAAAAATAGAAAGAGATTACACATTGTATTTTATTATCATAGACTATTGCTCAGCCACCCAACCTGTTAAAACTCTCGACAATCCCTACTTGATTAAGTACTCAAGTATGGAAATGGCACCATAAGGCAGTACAACAGTTCATTCAAGAGTACCATCAAAACAGGCCCAAACTGAGCTTCTGAAAGCTTAATCTTATATTCCCACAAGTTATACTGACTCAGAATACCTACACACAACAGGTTTCTTTCCCCAATCCAGTACACATAATACATCTTATTTTGTTCTGATTAGGAAAACCCATCTCTCTTCTACCCAACACTCTCTTTCCCCTCTAACCCAGGGAAGGGAAGAGAATGAGGAATCTAGGAAGAGAATGGGAAATTTAACTTAAGTGACACCTAAGCACTATACTAGACCTTGACATTAAAGAGGAAGGTACTCACTCTTGGTCTGGGCAGAGAAGGTAAGAGTAAGTTTGGCGAAAAGTTCGTTGTTCTCAAAGCGGTCCTCCTTCACCTTTGTCCAGAAGCAGTCCTGGGAAAGGTCCTCAGCCACAAACTGTGGGGATACAGGCAGGGAGGGGTTAAAGAGTTACTAATCTGAGGCCTAAACTTTCCATCCTAGAAAACTAATGAAGATGCAAAAGAAGCATCTGGCTGGTTATCAACAACCTTTTACTCCAATAAGACTAACCTAAAACACAGATAACAGCTGTAATCTGTGGTGGGATCAGATGATGTTTCCAGTTTGTTCACTGGTGATTATTCAAGAACTAGATTCGGTTATGCTACTCCTCCTCCTTCTTATCCCAAATCTTCAAGTTCAGAAGTACTCTATATTTTTATAATCCAATGCCTAACTTCATTTTAACTTAGTTTCTGGGAGAAAAAGGCTAACTAAAAAATCATAGGAATCTCAAACACATTATGAGCCATGTTTGCATGGTCTGTGTATAACTCTTTTCTTGGGAGTGGGAGTGAAACAGCACAATTTCAGTCATTTGCAGACTGGTGAAATTACTAGTGTCTACTGTCCAACTGTCACGGTATTCATATCCTCAAAAGGCAAAACAAAAAAAAAATTGTTTTTAGCTTAAGAATAAGTTTAGTTAGGATAAATTCAGAGTACAAAACTCACAGAACTTTCCAGGATAATGTCTGAAATATAGGACATGTTGAATAAACATAAGTAGAAGTGGAACTTGAAGGTGGATAAATGAGAGCCATGAGGAAGGGAAGCCTACCCATGCACAAAATACAAAGCAGGAAATTGAAATGATTTTGGTACTGGGGATTGAACCCAGGGGCCCTTTACTGAGGAGCTACATCCCTAGCCCTTATAATTTATTTTGAGACAGGATCTCTCTAAATTGCTGAGGTTGCCCTTGAATTTGCCATTCTCTATTCTCCTGCCTCATCCTTCCAAGCTGCTGAGATTATAAGTATGTACCACTACACCCAGCCCTGAAGTGATTTCTTAAGATCTGATGAATTGGATATGGTGGCTGTAAGGAGCACCTGCCATAGACATGCTGGAACTCACTAAGTTGCTGGCCATAAGGAACAGCAGCCATTGAACTGCTTAGTCATGTCTGCTTGCAATTGATAAAGAGCTTTAAGGGGCACTAGCCATAGGCATGCTTAGCAATGACTGGTTATAATTGATAGGGAGTATAGCTCCATGCACATGCACAAAGAACACACCCAGTTGTAATTACATCACTTCACTGGACATAACCAATGGACATTGACTTTCAGTGGGTGTAACCAATCACCAATGTACACCACCAATTTAGAACTGTATTTAAATGGCTTATCCTGTCACATTGAAGAATTTTGCTCCTGGGACACTGCCTTGCAGTCTGTGCCTGAAATGACTCCACTATTCTCCAATGTCCAGCCACTGGCTGGAGAGAACCACGATACAAGGACAACATCTGCTCTTTGGCTAAGAGAAGTTGTGTGGTTTCAGAGGTATTTTGGAGCTCGTGGTTGCTCTAGGATTGTGTGATTTGCTTATAGTATTTAATTAGTTTGCACTGAATGCTAGATGGAGTGCTCCAGCACACCCAACACTGTTTACATTAATTGTTTATATTTGATGATTGGTGTGATCGAATATATGCTTGCATTTAAAGACAATCTGCCTCTGAGTAATTATTAATAGCGCCGCTTGCCACAAAGTGGCACACACCTGTAATCCCAGCAACTTGGGAGGCTGAGATAGGAGAAACACAAGTTCAAGGCAAGCTTCAGTAACTCAATGGGGCACTAAGGAACTCAGGGAGACCCTGTATCAACATAAAAAATATAAAAAAGGGCTAGGGATGTGGCTCAGTGGTTAAATGCCCTTGGGTTCAATCCCTAATATCAAAAAAATTTAAAAATTTAAAAAAATTTACTGATGAAATGAATAGAAACTCTCACCTTAGACCAGTTAGGCCTCCGGAGCTGCACCTCTGGCTTATAAATCTTTTTGGGAGTTAATCCAAATGGCAGAACTGGGGCTGCTGGTACCCCAAATCCAAAGGGGGGAGGCGGAGGCAAACCCATTCCAGGTGGAGGTGGAGGAATGCCAGGGCCACCAGGAAATGGAGGTGGTGGAGGGATTCCAGGACCACCAGGAAGAGGAGGAGGGGGAGGTGGCATTCCTGGTCCTCCAGGCAAGGGAGGAGGTGGGGGGATGCAAGCACCCCCAGGTAAGGGAGGTGGTGGAGGGATGCTAGTACTTCCAGGCAATGGAGGTGGTGGGGGAATGCCAGCACCTCCAGGCAAGGGAGGTGGAGGGGGGATGCCAGCACCTCCAGGCAAGGGAGGTGGAGGGGGGATGCCAGCACCTCCAGGCAAAGGAGGGGGAGGAGGGATGCCAGTACCTGTAGGCAAAGGAGGGGGTGGAGGGATGCAAACAACTCCAGGCAAAGGAGGAGCAGGTGGAGGTGGAGGAGGAAAAATGGTAGCACCTCCAGGAAGAGGAGGTGGGGGTGGTATACTAACCCCTCCTGATAAAGGAGGGGCTGGAGGTGGAATAACCATTCGAGAGTCACCAGGTAGAGGAGGGGCAGGAGGAACAGTGGCACTACTAGGAACAGAAGGAGCTATAGCAACAACTGAGGCAGAGAGAGAAGCCATTTCTTTCTTGGCATCTTCCAGTTCTTTTGACAGCTTGGCAACCTACAGAAACAACACTTATAAGAATACTTGTCACCCCATTTCAGGGACTACGGGGAACCTAAGAAACTACTTAACCCAAATTTCTCATTTTACATATGGAAGGACTGGGAGGAGTTCAACAGTCTACATGATTTGCCTAAAGTTACACAGCCATTTAGTGACAAAGCCAAACCCAGAACTCAAGTCATGTTCTTAGCTGAGTATGCTTTGTAGTAAAAAACACAACTTCAACTCTTAGTTTAACTCTGATTATAAAATGCAGAGGTCAAGCAAATAAAATATAATAAAATATTATAAAATATTCTAGTTATATCCAAGGTGCTATAAGGCAATTATAGAACTACGTAAGTGATCAAATAATCAGATACTACAGATCACTTAAATATTTATAAAACTACAGTGAGGATAACTCTGTCCACTGATGATTAAAATAAGGGAAAACTAACAAATAAAGAGTTTAATTTTTACTCCTGAAAATTTATTAGAAGTCTATTACCTTTATTTATGGGTAGAATTGTTTAACTCATTTTATTCTTGGTTTTTCTATGTTTTCTAAATGTTTTGTTGTATATATTATTTACTACCCAAACAAAACTAAAAGCAGTAAATGATTTTTAAGATATGCACCATTTAACTACATTATCTATTAGCTGCCACCTCCCTAGGAGTGAGATGACTGGCTCCTGTCCCGAGACGTGAGCTGATAGCAGTAACAGTCCTTCTTTGCTCAGAAGTTACCTCTCCTGTGAGCTGGGACACCTCTGCTTCAAGGTCTTGTTTCTCTATGGCAATTTGTTGCTTTTCAGAATCCAATGCATCCTTTTCTCCCTGAAGATCCTGAAGTTTCTGCTCAAAGTCACTTTCCATCTTTTTCATTTCTACTTGTAGCTCATGTCGGGCTGTTAACTCTGAGTCCAGCTAATGAAGAAGCAATTAGGTTCGCAATTAGACTCCCCAAAAACTCTTCATCCAATTAAGAAGCCCACGTGTTATTCCCCATAAATTGGTATTTTGTGCCAGTACTTGCTCTGCAGAGCTCATTAACCCTATATATCAGGCAATGTATGGGGGGGAAAGCACTATAATTTTGACCTTAAAGTCAAGGATAAAAGACAGGAGAACTAAAGATCCTTTAATAGTCTTCCTACTTTCACAGTTTAACAAAACAAAACCCTGGGCTGGGGTTGTGGCTCAGTGGTAAAGCGATCAAGATCGCCTTGCTTGTGTGAGGCCCTGGGTTCGATCCTCAGCACCAAATAAAAATAACTAAAATAAAGGTATTGTGTCCAACTACAACTAAAAAATGAATATTTAAAAAAAAGATTGTATTTAGAAAAACACAAAACAAAACCTTAAGATTTGAAAGATCTTTAACCAACCTACTAGCAAAGGGTCTCCAGGATTCCATAGTCACTAGAATATAAAAATCTATCGACTATAATAGGAGTCCTTAACAATCAAAGAGAAAAAGAGAACTCAAACATATTCCAGTTCCTATTATTCTAGGGATAAGAGACCTGACATGCCAAACAAATCTGAAAGTGCCATCACTAATAGAGTATCATCTATAGTTCCTGTCCTTCAAGGGCTGTGCAAGCTCACCTTCAGCTCCTCGTGTTCACATCCATTAACCCCTTCTCCAATGACTAACCTATACTGAAAAGATGTAACCTAAAGACTATTAGATGCTGAGTACTTTAAATATGAACAAAAATTGTCTTGCATGTTAGAAAAATAATAACCCTCATTTAAAGAAAGATATACTTTAAAGAGGAAAAAAACAATTTGGGGATGGGGGCATAAATCTAGAGATCAAACTCAGGACCTTGTGAGTGCTAGGCAGGTAGTCTACCACTGATCCCACAAACGTACCTTTTTTTCCAGCTCTGTAGCTTTGGCTTCAGATTTCTCCACTTTTGTTTTATCAATCATTTGATCTAGGGGGGGAAAAAAGGTCAGTAAATGAAGTTCCCAGTTCTCTTGGTTTCCTTCTCATTCCTAAGCCTTTTAATACACTAAAGAGCAGTCCTCTGTCCATTTGGTTATCTGTATTATCCTTACTGTTCAGCATTAGACCAAGAAATAGGACTTTCAGATAAGTTCAACCTATAATTTCTCAATGCAAAGCAAGGCTAACATGCTGGGTGGCATGAACAATGCCTGAATTATATTTATTAAACTCTGAAACCAGCAAGTATCACAGATGATAGGTGAAGTCCCTACAAAAAAGTGATGTATGAGAAAGGGCAGGATGTTAGATTTATGTAGAAATATGTTAAACATAAGGACTGTACATTCCTAACAAAGATGTTGGTTGTGACCTAAGAAAGGACAAAAATGGAAATATCTGGGGAACAGAAAGATTTCTTCTCTGAAATTATCATTGACAGAAAGATGCAAAATGAAAAGTAAAAGCAATGGATGCTTTAAGGAACTGGATAGAAGAGTATACTTAACCAATCAATCCCTCGATATCAATCTGGAGGTGCCGGCATTTGAAATCAGGATCAGCTCCATTCTTATGAAGAACTATCTGGGAGATACATTCTTCAATCAACTTATAGTACTGTGGTCTACAGAAGAATCAGAACAGACAGAGTTATCAAATGGAAGTCAAGGGTAATTTTCAGAAGTATTCAGGATCAAGAAAAGTAAACTGACACTAGAAAGACTTAAGGATATGTGTTCTAAAAAAGAACTTTGCGTAAAGTTAATGGAAGCACCTCTGCTGTGCTGTAAGAAATCCCCCTTCTTTCATGTCAGCTCCCACTCTTCCTATTCCAGATAATCAACTTCTTATGGGGAGGGGATGTAGCTCAGTGGCAGAGTATGTGTTTAGTGTAAAAGTCCTGGAGTCAACCTCTAGCACTGTGGGGGGAAAAAAGTTCTTTCCATCTGCCTCCAAGTGCCAATACTTTCCCATTTAAATGTTCAGGCTTGATCCCTCTCTATAATGAACAGTGTTACTGTTGAATTTCCACTTCCAGGTAACAAGAAAGATTTTAAGTTACAAACTCCCTTTGTTATCCTCACCCTATTTACTCCCTTCCAAAAGGAAGGGTATTTTATTTATTTATTTTTTATTGTTTATTTTTCTTCTTTGGTGGGAAAGGTATTTCAATTTATATACTCTGGCCTTTTCCACAGGGATGCCTTTCAGTTGGGTTAAAGGGGTTACTGATGTCTTCATCTGTGACTAATAAGCCAGAATCCAGTCTTTCTCTTCTTTTTCCTTTTACAGGACAGTCTTTGAATTTTAGGATTCTGCTCTTTCCATTTAAGCTCATATTCAAAACTTCCCATAGGCACACCATCTTACCTGGCCTCATAGTCATTTCGGACCAACAGCAGGTGCTGAAGAATGGACAGGAAGTGTGGCTCTGCCTTTGAGTCCTTCACTGTGTTTAACAGAATCTGGAAGACTTCACTAAAGTCAGTGGAAAAGGAACAGGCTAAGGAAAGCAAAAATTTAGAAACTGTATTTGACAGATGGCTTGCTCAGTTTTGGGAGAAACAAAGGAAAAGTAACAAGATGCCACTTCTACTTTAATTATGGCTGTTCTTCCCATTAATATTACCAGAAACTTTAAGTTTCTTTGGTTAAGGATAGTACTTTAAAGAGACTGAGAATTCCTAGTACTTGGCTTAAAGATCAAGCAGTAGACAGAAACTAAAAATACAACCACCTCAAAGTCCCTTGTGGCACATACTAATAGTTAACCAAATTAATCCTTCAGCCCAAACATATCTAAAGTCAGCTCTACATCTCAGTGGGCTAAGCTATCATGTTCTAGGAAGTTTAAAGTGATTTTGATGGCTGTCCATGTTGAACAACGCTCAGACCACCTTTATTGACTTCCCTAGTCTATACAGAAGTAAATAAACCCAACAGTAATAAAAAGACACATGCCTTATTTACTGAGAAGACACATCAGCCTCATGCCTTGTACTGAATCATCTCCCAGATCATTCCATATGAGGGTCTGTAACTGAATGCAATGAATGTTTCATCTGTCCCAAGACTCTGTCCAGTGAACAAAAGGATATTCCATCTCCATGCGAATGTCATCTAGCCGTCCCTTCAGATCATAGGAATCTTCTTCCCCTTGTTCATCAAACACATTTAGTTGCACTCTCATATCATCATTTTCAATCTCTCGAAGGTCCTGTCAATAACATAAATAGAAGTGAGGGAATCCAAAAGTGTCTCATGTGGCTAGAAACCAACACCTTTCAACTTGGTTTTTAAGTTTAAAACCAGTAATCCTGGGAATAACTGAGGCTGTAAGAGCAGGAAGGAACCAGCCCAGACTTTCTAATGAAGTGTTGTCTCTTACCTGCAACACCTGATGCAGCCCTAATCGCATCAGTTCACTTCTAATGTGAACTCGGAAGTCAAGTTCTTCAGCTGGAGTGATGAGAGCATTGATCAGCTGTAGGCATCCCACCTAAAAAAAAAAAAAAAAAAAAATTCAGTAGCTATGTCAATGGTAACTACTACAGCTCAAGACTCCATCCTCTTTACATGCACTCCAGGACTCCCAAATAAAACCCAGAAGGTGTTGTACAAAAACTGTGGGAATAACCTTTCTACTACAGCAGAAACCTAGTTTGAACACAGGCCTTCAGACCTCAAAAATATAAATGATTCCAAGGATATGACAGTATATGTTATTGGAGAACCTTGGTTTTACTAATGTACAAATAGATATCTTGCTTTTTTTCAATCTCACAATGAGGAAAGTTCTTTCTTTGACTTCTTAGAGAAAAGGTCGTATCATTTTCCCTTCAGAACAATTTTTCAAATGTAAAATATATTGTTGGAAAATACTCCACATAAGATGAGGTCTTTCCATCTTGAACTCTAATCTTGGGCTTAGTTTCAAGGGGTATACCTTGAGTGCAATGGAGGTCCCACTTTTTAATCCATCCAACAGCGGCTGGAAACGTTCCACCTCATCCATCTCAGCTCTTTCTGTCATTGCCTCCAAAACCCTTTCATTCCTGCTCAAGAAAAAGGAAAGGGAGGGTCCTGCCAGGTGCTCTAACACGTTATGGGTAAATAACACAGGGCACAGACCAGTTAGAAAGCATCATTAATGCTTTAGATTTCTCCAATTAATCTCTTGTCACTCCTAGAACAGGAGTCAGAATCTGCTAAAAACTATAAGCCATTTCTTCAGAAAAATCTATTTCCCAAAATCCAATCCTAGACTCCTATCCATGAATACCAAATTAAAGACCCATATTATAAGTTATAAATTGGTTCAACTTTTTGAGAGGCATTTAATAGTACTATTCAAGGTCTAATGCACACAATGTTTAGCCTACTTCTAAAGATAAGTTACAACCTATTAGATGTAAACATGAAAATATGTATAAGGATATTTCTTATAGCATAATTTTTAATAGCAAAATTCTTATCTCCTAGACCAACAATCAGAACCTGATTTAGTCCACCTAAAAGTCTAACAATGGGAGTGTTATTAAATAAATTATGGGACATACATGATATGCTAAATGGCCATTAAAGATAATAAGGTAAATCTATAAATACTGACAAACAAGGATGTCCAAGATCTACTGTTAAATAAATAAAAAGAAACAAGCTGAAAAGAATGATTTAACTTTTGTTAAACCTGTCCTCAAAAAAAAAATCTATTCTATACATGCAGTTGGTTTTACAGACAAAAACCATCACTCCTCACCTCTTTTGGGGTGGGAGAAGATGATTCAAAATCAAGAAAATGTAATATGCTTGTGCTTTGAAAAACCATTAACAGTGTAATTTCTGTAAAATAGGACTTGGTGGTTGAATGAGGATGTTAAATTTTACTTTATATATTTCTTCATTTGAATTTTTAAGATAATATTGTGCTAATTCTGAATTAACAAAATAGTACATAAAACAGAACAAAACAAAAATGTCCTGGACAAAACAGACATTAATGCAGAGGCAACAGATACCCTGATGACCAATGGCACACTCAGGATAGGAATCTTTCCTAAATACAGATAGACTGAAATGCTTGACCTTATGTTTCAGATTTCAGATTTTTTCAGACTTTGAAATATTTAAGTATATACGAGAGTTATCTTAGGAATGAGATAGATAGAAGTTTAAACACAAAATTTATTTATGCTTCATATATACCTTATACACATAGATGAAGTTAATTTCATAATAATACTTTTAATAATTTTGTGCACAAAATAAAGTTTTATGGTATGAGATTTTCTACTTGGGGATGTCATGATGGTACTCGAAAAAGTTTCAGTTTGGAGCATTTTGGGTATTCAGATTAGGAATGTGCGATCTATATTAAAATTCTTAGCACAGTGGTACATGCCTATAACCCCAGTTACTTAGGAGGCTGAGGTAGGAGGTAGGAGGATTACAAATTCAAGGCCAACCTAAGCAATATTAGTAAGGCCTTTTCTCAAAATAAAAAATTTAAAGGGCTGGGGATGTAACGTGTGATATAACGCTGCTGGATTTAATCTCTAGTATTGGGAAAAAAGATTCTCAGTGTTCACTTCTGATAAGAAATATGGTCTGGCTGAGTGCAGTGGGGTACACGTATAATCCCAGTGGCTCAGGAGACTGAGGCAGGAGGAATGCAAGTTCAAAGCCAGCTTCAGCAACTCAGTGAGGCCCTAAGCAACTTAGTGAGACCCTGTCTCAAAGTAAAAAAAAAATTTAAAAAGGTCTAGGGATGTGGCTCAGTGGTTGAGAGCCTCTGGGTTCAACCCCTGGTACCAAAATAAATAAACAAACAAAAGAAATATGGTCTTAGCTAGTATTTAAGACCAAGTGAATATCTAAACAACTCAATTTTCCTCTACTCTAAACAGATGATAAAAATGAGAATGGACAAAAGAAGTAACTCTAATCACATACATGTCCTCTGGTTGTGGTAGAATACAAAGAGCAGAAAGCAGTTTAGCTGCATCAATCATCATGTTGGGAACAGCAGGATCCATGGCTCTGACCAGCAGTAAAATTCCTTCTTCTGTCTCCAACATGGTTTTGATTCCAAACTGGTAGGACAAAAACAGAGAAGGAGATTTAAAGATAACAGCATCAGTTAGGCAAGATAGCACATGCCTGTAATCCTACCTGTAATCCCAGAACTCAGGACTGACTACTTTACCACTGAGCTATATCCCCATTCTTGGGTATCTCAAACAGAAATTTATTGTCTCACAGTTCTGGCTAAAAGTCCAAGATCAGATGTTAGCAGGGTTTGTTTCTCTGAAGACTGAGGGAGAATGTTTCATGCCTTCTCTTGTAGTTTCTGGTAGTTTATTGGAATCTTTGACTTTTGCTAAATTGCTTAGGGCCTTGCTAAGTTACTAAGGCTGGCTTTGAACTTGCGATCCTTCAGCCTCAGCCTCCTGAGATACTGGGATTACAGGTGTGTGCCACTATACCTTTATAATGGTGTGCCACCATTCTTTATAATATCCCAATTCAAGAGAATAATTATAGATTACATTCTGAAACAAATTAGAGCTGGGAAAAAAGGTCCATGGAAATATGTACATGTGGCAATGAATAACAGATTCAGTACTAAAAGGGACAACCTCATTTTTCTACTTTCACTTTGGGGTTTGCCAAGAGAAGAGAACAAATGGAGGTCCAGATGAGGACTGGAACAAGAAGGGGAAAAAAATCTTACCTTGTTGTTCATAAAAGCTTTCAAACAGCGAATGATCTCATGTTGGTTCCTGCTATCGTAGCTCCTGTATTAGAAGACATAATCAGTGAAGTCTCTTTATTCTACATCCCTTTCCCAAATGACTTTTTAACCTTGCAAACAAGGATCTTAGGAATATCTCCAACTAATAGCCAAGTAAAGTCCAGCACATAGCACTTAGCTCAGAAACACTGACAAAAGTAAGTAGATGAAGAGGGATCCCCATCATAAAAGACCTTTGGCTGTAATCCAAGAATTTATTATTACATTATAACTTACCCTTTAACTCTTTCTAGGCTTCTAAGTGCTAAATTCTATCAGGATAACATCCTGATGCTTGCCCCTCTACTTAAAAGATTTCAGATCTGAGAAGGTACATGTAGGAGGTCCTGGCCCTGTATTATTTTTGTCTCAGAAAGAGTCTAGGAGGTAAAGAGGTCACTTTGGCTCAGTCTGGTTTCCAAGGTAGCCGAACACAGTCCAAGTTATTCCCAAATTATTCCAATCACGAAGACTGTTGTAAAGGTAGTCCCAAGCTAATCAAGTATATTTTAAGACACCATATGGGATATGACCCAGACTAGATCACTCTGGAGAAAATCAGATCCTACTTCCAGACTGAAAAAGGGGGAGATAAGTAATCTTAAGTGTATATATCACATTCATCATGAAATTCCAAGTTCCTCATCCTTTGCCTATAATTATAATCATCATTCATCCACTGGTCACCCCACAACAAAAATCATTCTCAGCTAACAGTATATGCTCCTAGTCTATACATTTAACTGTTATTATTCTATAACCCTATAACCCTCCACCTTGAAGATGCAAAGACCTGGAATTTCTTACCCAGCAGTCTCCTCTTTCTCATCGTGAAGTCGTTTGAGGATGTCTAATAAAGAGGCCAGACCTTCAGCACCAAATGTTTGTACCCAACTATAAGAAAAAGACAGGGACGATGCAATATAAAATCAATAAATATTACTTCTTATTTATGATCAACTCTTTTTCCCAATTCAGATCATCCTTATATTTCCCAACTCCTTTGATCTTCAATCATACCAGTAAACTCTACTGTTGGGTTCCTACTCCTCTTAACTCCTCAGAACACTCACCTGACAGGGTTGTTGTTGAGAGAGACACGAAGGGACTCCAGGCAGCTAAGCAGAGGCATATCCCGCAAGCCTGATCTCAACTCCTGAATGTACATCATGGCAGATCTAGAGCTCTCCTTTTGGCTCATGCCCTGTTTAGGAGGCATTCAGAGAAATTAAGCACTGGACATAGTCATAAACTGGGGGCTAATATTAGTCAATACAGTTTAAATATCATGAGGGGCAGAAATCTATCAGACCACAAATTATGTGAGACTCAGAATTGTTCATCCCATTTCTTATACTTCATGAAAGTTTATATCATGCAAAAAGTATTTAAGAATGGTAACTCAGCCTGAATGTGTGGCACAAACTACAGGAGGCTGAAGCAGAAGGATTTCAAGTTCAAGGCCAGCCAGAACAAGGTGGCAAGATCCTGGCTTAAAATAAAATTTTGAAAAAAGGCTGGGAGAATGTAGCTCTGAGTGGTAGAGTGCTTGCTGGCATTTGCAAAGCCCTCGGTTCAATCCCCACTACTGAAGGAGGGGAAAAAAAGAGTGGTAACTCAAATGAGAGTGTAAAAAAAGAAAAAAAAAGAGTAGGCTTATGTAATGGAATAAAACACAATTGACACAGACATAAAATGTTATATAAAATTAACAAAATAAACAGGTCCAAACTAAGGGTAGTCTCCCATGTCATGGGTACTTGCCCCAAGACTCACAGCCTTGGAAGTGTGCAAGTACTGGGACACCATCTCCCTCTTGATGACAATGTCCTTCTCTCTCAAAGGTTGCTGTTTTTCCTCATTCAGGTTCATATCCAGCTAGTAGAGGAAGAAAAAAAGAAAAATATAATTGCCTTAAATTCATTACAAGTTTTTAAGTGTTTAACGCTTATTACACTTAGTGATGAGTTCAGTACAATAAATGATTATTGAATAAATATGCTTTCAGGATTCCTAGAGATTTAAGCTATTATGACTGATAAAAATTCTTCAGATATAAATGGGGTTATTCTTTGTATTAAAGCCTAAAATGCTTTAAAATAAGGGCTGATTAAGGGGACCATCCATTTTTTAAAAAAGCAAAAACAAACAAAACCCCCACCATGCTCATACATACAATTTTTAGGAAAAATAACATTTTGAGGTGGGAAACTTACCAGCATCTGTTCAAAGAGAACTAGAACTTGCTCATCAGAAATATCCTGCAAGGACTGTGCTGTTGGGTCATCCCCATAAGAGGCAGAAGAATTTCTATGAGCAGAATTGGGTTTTTCCTTCTCCTTCTTAATTCTCATGCTGGTAAATCTCTCCAGCTGAGAAACAGAAAAAAGTATTATTAGTGCTCCATTTTCATTTATACAACCAACTACACACCAAATAACCAATCCTTTCATCTCTTACACATGCATGGTTCCTTTGGTTCATGAATAGTTCAATACTCTTCTAACATGAAAAGAAGATATCAATTTTCCTCCTAATTTATCATACTAACTCTACTCTCATCTTTATCCAGAGATAAGAGGACTACAGTATAAAGATTTCTCTATAAAAGGCAGGTTTGATCTTGATTTCTCCAGCTATTCACCCTCACCTTAGGCATCTCAAATTTAATAAGGGGAAATGACCAAAACAAAACAAAAAAAAAACAACCTGCCACAACTAAAAGTTCTCATATTTCTAGAGTTTAAACACATTTCATCCACTACTTATTCATTTTTCACATACTCTATATCACAATTCATAGTATTCTGCCATTTCTAAGACCTCTAGCAGCACAAATCTAAAAGTACCCCATGTATAAAACTACCTCAATAAAGTGCTCTTTGTTTCCTAATAATAAATGTGGCCAGGTCTCCAGAAAATTTCTCCCTGTGAGAGGTGAGTATGAGGAGCTGGAGATATGGCTCTGGTTAGCATTTGCTTAGCATGCCCAAAGCCCTGGGTTTGATCCCTAACAGCACCAAAAAAAAAAAAAAAGAAGAAGAGGAGGTAAAATATAACCATAGATTTTAAGATATTAAGTCATACAGGATAAATAAGTAAATGCCTTAAAGGCAGGAATCTTTCTCTTCTTCTTTTTCACATTCCAAGGAACTTGGGTTTAAGGCAACTGAAGTTCAATATATGTTCTTCAAAATCCCCTTTGCATGACATCTAGTCAGGAAAAAATACACTGTCCTTTCAAGGTATATATACCATCTCTCTGCCACACAAATGCTAACAAACTATTCCTCAGACCTCAAGTACAGATGTTCAAATTTAGAACAGTAACCAATAAGCTGCATTTATCAGCTCAACCCATTTGAAAGTAACAGTAACCATCTGCAAGCATTGTGGAATTTCAAGTGATATGAGTGGCATCTAAACTGCAAATCAGCTTAGAGTTTAAAGACTATGCCTAACTTTGGAAGTTAATCAATGTGCCAAGGAAATGCATGCAATGGGCCAAACATAGAGCAAAGGGTTAGGAAAAAGCCTTAGGGTGCTCTGAAATTAGCTCCCATATCACCATTATAAGTTAAAGAAAGTCAAATTTATGGAAACCAGTAAATATTATAGTATAAGAACATGCACATGCCAAACAAAATTTCCTTACCTCATCTGCCATGAGCCGCTTCAAAGTCTAGGAAATAGGAAAGAGGAGGAATAAGAGAAAAGAGATCAGTGAAATGCCAAGACACTTCCCAAACACCAGATGGGTTGGGGGAAAAAGGGAAGAAAAATAAACTGAAAGACTCTAAGCTACTGTCCACAACCTAAAAAATTTCTGCCAATGTATTTAGCACAGTCCCTTAGGTCAGTAGTAGAAAGAATTTGAAGAATACTAACATATGACTCTTTAAAAAAAGTAAGATGGAGAACTGGACATACTGTAAATTCAATGACTAATAATTATGAAATGTGCCCAAATTTATTAGTAATCAAGGAAATGCAACTTATAATCACAATGAGGTATCATTTTACCCTCTCAAGACTGCCAAAAACTTTCATGTCTATCTCGCTGTACAGCAACAGAGGATCTTACATATTGTGGGTATTAATGTAAACTTCTGGGGCCACTCAGGAAAATCAAATAGTGTTATCTAGTAAGGTGAAATGTGCACATACAACTCAACATATCAATTTCTACATATATACTATGTTGAAAAGTGCATGTAAAAGTAGGAGGAAATGTGTTAATAGTCATACTATAAAATGTCTAAAACAACAATACAAATGGCCATCAAGGGTAGAATGGACAAATACATAGTATATTGATACAATAAAAACAATTATGCAAAATGAATGAACTTGTAACTACTCAAATATACTACTGAATCATTATTTCATTTACTTGAGCCTACAAACAAGTAAAACTACATTATATTATTTAGGATGTAAAATTAGAAAAGGAATGATTACCACAAATGTCAAAACAGTGGTTACTTAGGGTGAGTAGAAGAGCTGTGATTGGGGAAAGGACAAAGTGGCTTCTGAGTACTTACAATGTTCTATTTCTTAACAGGAAATACAAGGGTAGGTAGATGGGTGTTATAGTTTGAATCTATAAATGTCCCCAAAAGAGCTCATTTGTTAGGCAATGTAACAATGTTCAGAGGTAAAAGCATTGGATTATAAGAGCTGTAGCCTCATCAGTGAATTAATCCATTTGATAGATTAATAATTTGAACTACTGGGTGGTAACTGTAAAACAAGTGGGACATTACTGGAGGAACTAGCTCACTGGTGGTATGGTCTTGAGTATATGTGGCCCTGGCCCTACCTTTTCTCTGCTTCCAAGAGCAGACAACCCTCAGCCACACCCTTCCACCATGATGCAATGGCTTCATCTAGGGCCCAGTGCAATGGAGTCAGCTGACCAGCTGACCATAGACTGAACATCTCAAACTGTGAACTCCTCTAATTGAATAGATAGTTTTCCTTAGGTTTCCACAGTCATATATACTTGCCTATCTTGTAGCACTAGTCGTAGATTATAATTGTCATTTTTTAAATTGTTGCCTCCTTTATACCCTTACAGATTATGTTCCTTAAGGGCAGAGCCTGAGATTTAGTCATTATTATTGCCTATGAAAAAATACTGTAAACTAAAGCTACTTCCTTAAATTGTCAATCCCTAGAGAAGTCCTCAAAGTCTGTTCTACCTATTAATTGTATCAATGAAGAAACAGATACTCAGACAGGTGGAATAAATCATTAAAGTCACACAATTAGAGGCTGAGCTGGGTATTGAACTTAGGTCTCCAGATTCCAAAACCCCAAAATCTTTACATTCCCCAAATTCTTCGGTTTCTATTTCATGATCACCAACTCTTGCCTAGTTAAGAAAAATAAACACTAATTTTCATAAAAAGATATACCATTTCTCTTGCTTTCCTGGGGCATCATTAGAAATATTTGATCCTTAAAAAAAAATTATCCATATTTTAGTGCTCAATTTGGAGTGAGGATCACAAAAGTGACTGACTCAGAATAAAAGCTGCATTTTCTGAACTAGTCCAACAGAGGGCAGCAACAACCAACAAAGTGAAGCACAGTATAGGCAAAATTCTGTTTCAGAACCCAAAAAAAAAGCCCCAGGAACAAGCCCAATTATTTGAAATGAAAACCTACTGCTAAAGTATATTGAGGGCACATGACTTACTTATTTTATACTATGTGTTCTTCCTCAAAGATTCTGTATATACTGTGTTTGGAAACAGCTTTGTTTAGTTTTTTAAATTGTATCATTTGTTGTTTGGCAAAAGTTCCTAGATCATGAGAAGTAAAGAAATTAAAAGTACTGTACTCCAGGAAGAAAATACTATTGAGGCTGTATTTGTGCCCTGTGCTTCAGACATCCAAACTTTTTTATAGTCTCTAATCACCCTTCCTCTAAATGTTTCTACTTTCACCACTCTCCTTGTTGGCTGTCAATTTTTTTCTGCTGCCAAAACCAAACTCTTGTAATGCCTCACTTCCTGTCCCTCCTATGGAGTCCTCCACTAAATACTATCACTAAAACCTTTAACTACAAATATAGACACTGAAGGAAACATAAATACTGAATTAATTTTCAAAACATCAAAATTAGCTCATGACTACAGATAAATAAGAACCTCTAGGTAAAAGATGGCATTAAACCATAATATCTAATTTCTCCTCTTCTTAAAACCCCACTAAATCTACAGGAAAGGGATTTTCAGAAAGAAAGAAATAATGGGAGGAAAGAGTCTACAAGGTTGGAAAGAACAAAAGAAATTTCAGCCAGTTTTGAAGCTGGGGCATTAAAAGAAATAGCAATATTCTACCCAAAGACACAGAAAGAAAGTCCTGAACCAGAAGTAGGAAAGGGAAAAAAAAAAAAAAATCAACCCAAATTACACTTAAGGACCTTCATAGTGCAGGAATTAGTGGTGCCAAATACCTGTGGAAATGATGGGTGGGTGGGGATTGGAAGACCAATAATAAGATTAAGAAAGTTGCTGAAGAGGTGGTTAGATCCTTTGAGCACTCAGGAGACAGAGGCAGGAAGATCCCAAGTTCCAGGACAGCCTCAGCAACTTAGTGAGGCCCTGCTTCAAAATAAAAAATAAAAAGGACTAGGGATGTAGCTCAGTGGTAAAGTGCCCCTGGGTTCAATCCATAGTATCAAAAAAAAAAAAAAAAAATGATCCCTAGATCCACTCCCAACCCAATTCCCAACCCAGCTCCACCATGCCACTGGCAAATTACTTTAATCTTCCAACAGAAGTATGGAAATTTATTCTTAGAAAAGGGTGAAACAAAGGGTCTTTGGATTCAGGGATGGCAGGCACAGTGTGGGCAATGATCCTACATACACAAAAAAGACCAAATAAGCCTACATCTACTATATACTGACATTCAGCACTTCCCACCTCTGGTCTCTCAGAACCCTGCAAAAAAGTCTTGAACCCTGACACAGAATACTAAATCTTCTCTAGGGAATCAAAAAACAACCTAAAGCTACTGATGTAGTCTAAGTAGACTTTTGCAGACCTCTACTGTCCAATATGGCAGTCACTAAGCACATGAATCTTAGGAGTACTTCTAACGTGGCTAGTGCAAATGAGAAAGAAATTATACTTTAAATATATTTAAATTTAAAAATCTAATTTAAATAAAAAAATATCTCTATTGTTAAACTTACATATGAATAGAACACTTTGGATATCCCATCTCATCACTTTTTTTCAACTATCCTTACTAACGAATAAAGAAAAGGAAATAAAAGGAATACAGATTGAGAAGAATATAAAACTGTCTTTGTTTGCAGATGATCTGATCATCTATATAAAAAATCTGAAGGATTCAACAAGAAGTATTCCTGGAACTAATAAGATTCCTAGGGCTGGGGTTCTAGCTCAGTGGTAGAGCAATTGCCTAGCATGTGTGAGGCACTGGGTTTGATCCTCAGCACCACATAAAAATAAATAAATAAAATAAAGATATTCTGTTCATCTACAAATAAAAATATTTTTTTAAAAAAATAATATCAAGTATGCAAGGTTAATATATGAAAGTCAATCCCTGTTTTTAATATGAAATTAAAACCATTTACACTGGCATCCCCTAAAATGATAAATACAGGTATAATCTAACAAAGTATGTACAAGATGTAAAACTACAAAACTCTGATGAATAAAGTCAATGAACTAGATAAATTAAGAGAGATTCCACATTCATGGACAGAAACATCAAATGTGTCACAATGTTGACTTTTCCCAAATTGATATACAGATTATAAATGTAGTCCCAACCATAGCAAGTGGATACCAACAAATTGATTACAAAGTTTAGAGAGGTACAAGATCCAGAACAGTCAATATAATATTGAAGGAGAAGAACAAAATTGGAACACTGACCCTACATAACTTTAAGACTTAATATAAAGCTACAGTAATCAAGACAGTATGATTAAGCAGGGCACAGTGCATGCCTGTAAACCCGGCAGCTCAGGAGGCGGAGGCAGGAAGATCATGGGTTCAAAGCCAGCCTCAGCAACAGCGGAGGCTAAGGAACTCACTAAGACCCTGTCTCTAAATAAAAAATACAAATAGGGCTGGGGATGTGGCTCAGTGGTCTGGAGTCCTTGAGTTCAATCCCCAGTACCTCTTCCACCAAAATAAGTATGATTGGCAAAAACAAATCTCAACAACTAGCAGATCAAAAGAACAGAATGAAGAGTCCAGAAAATAGGCCCACACATAATCAACTAACCTTTGACAAAGAAGCAAAGTCAATATAAAGAAGCAAAGGTAAGGGACTGGGGTTGTGGCTCAGCAGTAGAATGCTCACTTAGCATGCTTGAGACACTGAATTCCATCCTCAGCACCATGTAAATGTAAGATGAAGATATTGTGTCCACTTAAAACTAAAAAAAAAAAAAAAAAAAAAGCAGCAGCAGCAGCAGCAAAGGTAGTCTTTCATTTTTCTTTTTCTTTTTTTGGTACTGGGCTTGAACCCCAGGAGTTCAATCCCAGGAGGTATTTTACCACTGATCTACATCCCCAGTCCTTTTTAATTTTTTTAAAAATATTTTTTAGTTATAGATGGACACAATATCTTTATTTTATTTTTATGTGGTGCTGAGGATCAAACCCAGTGCCTCATGCATGGAAG